TAAATTCAGTACTCAACAGATGACACCCTGCATCAAAATCATAGTACCATCAGTAAAATTTGTTTCTTACTTAGTAAAATCAGTTCTTTCTTAGTAAAATCAGTTTCTTACCTTCAGTAAAATTTTTAAACTGGAAACAAACGACATTATAATGCAAAAACAGTGCCCATTTCAGAATTCAACATCGTTAAATTTTTAATACAGAATCTTTGAAATTTATTCGTTTGGAAGCATGGTTAAGAATCAAAACAATATCTACAAGTATTTTATCTTTAAAATCTTTTTCTGGAACTTCAATGTAAATTCATTCAAAAGATCTACTCTCGCACAGAATCCTCAATGTATAGTTTCTGTGTTTAAAACTGAGCATTATCAGCTTGGATTTATCTTTTGAGATGATACTGTTTATCATATTAAAATTTCATGATCATATTTATTTTATTTCCTTCTTATGAAATAAGAAAACGAAAGCAATATTCATTCAAAACTACTCATTTAAATTTAGATTTATTGTAGGGTGAATGTTGAGGAGATAAAATATTTCTCTAATATCTAAATTGTTCTTAGTGTAATTAAAAGTGTTTCTGACTTGCTAAATGCTATTTTCTGCTGCACTCAGGGTGCGACACTACAAGATGTATTTTATGTCAATTAATCCATTTCCTGATTTAGGTCTGTACTGTCACTTTCATTTTCATTAGCTCTCACCAAAATGCGAATGAAGTACGACTATTTAAGGCAAAGGTTTGAGCATTTTAGATATAGAGTTCTGGCAATGATGCTAGCAGCTTTACTTCCGCTAGCCTAGCTCTGCTAAGTTAGTGTTCCGGCATTAAACATTTTACCGTTCAAAGTTAAATCGCGCAATTAAAACTTTTGAACCGATGCTAACTTAGGCAAATTTGTAGGGTTTTAAGTTACAAATCCATTTCAGTTTATAAATTCAGTTTGCTTTTCGTTGATACCCGCAAATAACGGAGTTTTATTTTTGTGTTCCAGTTGTGTCATTAAGTTTAATATTTAAATGAAAAGTGTTATTTGCAACTTTCATAAGCCTTTGCAGCACTTTTCTTAGACTGAGCGATAGCACGACTTGCAGGTGACTAACACGGCTAGGGTCTAAAGAGTTTCAAAATTAGATTTACAGAGGATAAGGCATATAGTATAAATTTATGTGTCTAATATTGTCACATTTCTTTTATTGTTACTGCTCGGGAAAAAGTGTTAAAGCTAAAGATAAACGTATTATAACACTAAAGTTTTATAACACGTGCTATATCTAGTTAGAAAATACTAGCAGTCATCCACCTATTCTTTAGGCCTTAAGCAGCGATTAAACATAAAATATTCCTTCTTTTTACAAGTAAAATTTCAAGATATATGAGTAATTAATATTTTTAGTAGGCTAACTACACATATTATAACAAGTGCTTTTTTGCTCAATGCAGAGTAATTAATAGCCGAAACGAGCAACTACTGTTTGTAATTGTTCCCCCAAATTCAAAATGCCCGGGATTTTTGTGAATCACAGCAAAAACCTCTGAAACTAATGAGTTAGTCCAAGTGATACTCCTAATAATCATGAATAGCGATCTATGTCAATCAATTAGTTTCCGAATATGTCCATGAATTTCACGCATAAGTGCATGCAACTTATTATTTTTACTTAATTAATAGATATTAAACAGTTTCTATTTGGAATATTTTACAGTGATATATAAAAAGATAGGTTTTTATATCTACAAAGCCGTCCCCGCATTATGATGCTGAAACTATTTTCATAACATTCTGTACATTATTGTGAGGAACCTTGTTAGCTAGAAGTACCCGTTCTAGGATCAATATTTGGAAATACAGATTGCATCCACCTTTTTCTAACATTCTCTATTAACACAAAATGCATGTAACTATCTTCTATATGCATACGTTGTAGAATTATAGAAGAAAAGTTATATAATTATATTGTTTTATAACATAATTATATTCTATAAATATATAATCATCATCTATAAATTAACAATTACAAAATTAGCTTTTTGTTTTCCGCAGAGAACAAGTTAAACAAAATCGTATTCTACCATTTAAGAGAGATGACCAGATTGAAGTTGGTTGTTTGGTGTTTACATCAAATCAGCCAAGGACTATTTGCTGTAGAAGGAAGGCCTTAGTGGAGGATATAACAAAAGAAATGAGCTTGAAACCGTTATACATTTAGAGAAAGCATAAAAAACTTATGCAGTCGCCTCATTTACCGGGACCAAAACTAGGCACTAACCACTATTCTTCAGCCATCTTTTATCCATTCATCTGCTGCTGGGACATCGACCAATTTCAAATAAAATAATTAGATACTAGAAAATAATAGATAAGATATCGCCTTGTATTGTGGGCGAAAGCAATGATTTCAAGCAGCTTTGCTGTTTGCTATTTGACTAGTAGATTAGTAGATAATAGATTGAATGCGATTAGACTGAGTGAGAAAATAGATTGAATGTTTGGTAGATAATAGTTATAACAAACTGAATGCGATATATTTAAGTCACGTTCACTCTGCTATCGTCAAAAGTTCTGAAGAACTGCTATATTTTTGTCTACATTTACGTCCTTTTATGTTAATAAATTATCCTCATTTCCTGTCCTTTCATCATTTTCTGTTACCTCTAAAGAGAGTAAAAGTTGGGATTTGGAAGATGTCAATAAATAAACCAGAGCGCTTTAAATATTGTGGACAATATGAAGGAAGAGAAAATTGATCTCTGAGGTCGAACTTATTGGCTAGTGCTCAACTGAAATTTGTTTAAAGAAAAAACTTGAGAGTTATTTATGTGTATGTGTGTCTGCGTGTGTGTATTTTTTGTTAGTACTGTTGACTGTTGTTGGCATTAAAGATAGGCATAAATAAGTACCTATCGTTCTTCTTTCTATTTTGAGATACGTGTGAATTGTGCTAGAAACTCGTTTTACTATTTTTTGCAAGCTTTGTTCCTGGCAAGAAGCAGTTTTTGTTTATTATGAGTTTAAATATGACAAACTTAAATATTATTTAATCCTTTGAAGCAAGCTGTTTTCCTCCTCTAAACTTTTGAGCAACTTTTTCGGTGTGTTACGTATGCGTAATTATTAAATGCCCTGACAGCAAAATTATAGACATCCAACTGCGTGTTTTACTATTAAGAAACTGTTAATTACTTAATTGCCAGTTCAGGGCACCAAAGTTTATAAATTTTGGTAGTTTCATATTTAATTTTAGTTATATATTCCTAATCAATAAATACATATAAATTTTTGTATAGACCCTGCTAATGCAGATTTTAACAAATTATGCAATTATTGCATTATATACTATTGTACCAGAGTAATACATAATGTATAGAAAATAAAAGTTCAGTAAACAGAAAATTAATTCTTGCGCAACTTGAGTAAGCTGTTTATAAGGATTCTGATTCATTTAAATATACAACCATACTTAAATGCATACTTTGGCGAAACTTTTCTTATAGGTCTTTAAAGTACTCAAGCATTATTCATTAAAAATTTTGATAAACTGCTTTAAATGTTGTGCTTTAAACCAGATAAAGTTCCAATACCTTCATAAAAAGTGTCTGTCCTCTTGAAGTTTTAAAGAATCCTTTAAACAAGTTCAGAACATTTTCTGGGAGCACTTATGGCAAAACGTTATAGAGGCATTAGGTTATATCAATGAAGGAAAGTGAAAAATGTGCATTGCCCTGGCCGGGATTCGCCCTTCAGCCCTCTCAAATACGCGTCGAGCTTCCAGTGCATGCTGAAAGGAGAGAGAAAATACCTTATATACTCCCTCTTTTAAAGAGCGACTGAGGATTAGGGTACCCAGTCACCGAATCCTGGTGGTGACAAATTATCGTCCACCGCCTTCTAGTTCTGACGTCACTTGTCGAGTCTTTTTATAATTTTTCAAAGTCAGGAAACTGAAGAAATCTGCAGTGGCTCGCCTGGATTCAAGCTCCAGAACTCCAGAAAACACGTCGAGTGTCCTTTCCAGTTACACCCCGAAGGTATCCGGGAAGGAGGGAGAATATACCGTATGAAGTTTTTAACTTCTTTATATTACTTGGCAGAAAACTTATACTCCCATGGACAAATTCCTGTTTTCCTGAGAGAATATTCAACATCTGTTCCTGTAAACCTTAATTTTCTAATGTTTTAATGACAAATATGCCGATAGCTTAATTTCATCACAATGGTTGGAAATGCATCAGTGGTGCAGATCTGTCAGTTAATTTCTTTATATAAAAAAATCCCTTCTTTTTGAGTAAAACATTCACAATATAGTTGATGATTAATGTACATGCGTGGAATTATTTTAAACGGAGAATAAACGGAATTTTACCTGTTATACCCTTTTAAATTATGTTCAAAAATTTCCTTTACTTTAACTTCATGAATTCTTCGTAATGGTAAATCAAGTTTAATAGTTTATTCAATTGGTTACAATAAATTATACTAAATCACAAATATTGAAATTCTTTCTTGTTTCAATGTCAGCATAGCTACAAAGTTAAGTTAGAAAGAATTTGTATGGTATAAAATGAAAATATTCCCCGCTGTTATTTCCCTCCATACTCTACTGAAAGCACACATATTTCTCACTTAGAAATAGTTTTGTTCTGCTGACACTTAAATGACATTTACAGATAGATGGACCTGCAGGTAGATAATTTTAAAATGTGTGAGAGAAAATCGATAAATTACTATTTTATAGGAGACAAATGAGAATATCTTCTGTATGCTTTTTATAGGGTTTTAAGCTGTTTTCAAATTATAAGAAAAGGATTTGAATTTAGATTTGTCATCTTACAAGACATCTTACGTATTATATGGTTTTACTTTTATTTAAAATAAGCTTCACATGAATGCGAAACATTTGAGTGTCATTTCCTATGTATCTGAATCAGAGAATAAAAATTGTTTTAATTCTCAATTGTAAATTGAGAATTAAAACAATTTTTCGTTATTTTCAGACATTATTTTCTAAGGCGTCAGAGTATTTATATAATTCTACAAGAAACGGCGTGTATTTCAAAGAAGTTACAATTGTTGTGCCATCCACGTGGTCTAAACAGCCCGAATATGAAATTCAGCAAGGGAACTTCTTCAGCACTGCTCACGTGAGAGTAGACAATGAGAATCCAGAGTATAAAGATACTCCCTACACACTACAGCCGGGAGGATGCGGTGACCCTGGCCATTATATACATTTAACTCCTTGGTTTCTAGAAGAACTCGAAGGAAAAACTGTGGAAATGTTTGGAGCACCTGGTAAGTTATTCTTCTACAAGCAATAGTTTGAAAGAACTTTATTTACTATATTTTCTACTCTATTATTAAGAAATATTAATTAGGAATAATTTCAACAATATAAAAAGGGCTTAGTACTTATTCACATTAATATATTAGCTGCCTTTCCACTTTTAATAGTTTACGTTTTTTCTCTCAAATCATTTTAAACCTTCAGAAGCTCCTGATTCATTGGAGACGAACGAACTGGCCTTGTCTATTTTTTTTTCCGGAATGATAGAAGAATTACTTTCACAAACCATCAGCGTAAAACAAAATTTTCTACAGAAAATACAAAATATGAAAAGAAAAATGGGTTTGATAATAGCTGTGATAGCAGGTGATAATATAATACTTCGAGTTATTTTTAATCATCTGCTACACAACAACATCTCTCGAAACGCAGGAGTATGTAAGCAAAAATGAACAGCAGATGTACACTGAAGTGTGGAAGAAAATAAAACAGAGAGGGGAAGAAACAGAGAAAGAGGTTTATTTTTGCTTTTAATTCTAATTTAATTTAAACAATCAAATAATTTTTTCCGCAGATTAAAATGCTCTAAAACACAGCTAATTTTTTAACAGCATTTTACTGCTAATTATAATATCCTTTTTTCTGTGCTTTTCAACTGCCCTGGATTTATCGTAATTTTAATTTTGAGTTAACCGTGGATAGTTAGCGGAGGGGTTGACTCTCTGCAAAGAATTATTCCAATTTTTATATGTGCTATAGACCTCAAAACTTTGAAAGATATATTTTTAATAATCAGCTTCAAATAAAAAGCATCATAGCATAGGAAAAAAACATTTCAGCTGAACTTAAATAAAAGTCTTTAATATTCTTTTAAACATAGTGAGCTTCAATATAATAAAATGTTAAATTTTAACAGATGGAGTTTTACGAGTTCATTCATTTATTCCTAGATAAAGTCAAGAAAAGGAAACAATATTAGAAATTTTACTAAACAAAAACGCTTAATAAATAATTGTAAAATGTTACTCTATATTCTGAGAGATGATTTATTCTAAATTTATAAGGATATTATTTTAAAAATAAAGTTCAAACAATTTTTCTAAAGATTTTTTGTTATTTAGTAATCTTTCTAATTCACAATTTAAACTGAATCAAGAAAAATAAAAAATGATAATAAATTTCCAATGCAGTGAATTAAAGCGATATAAAGTTCTCTAAGTTATGTTGCCGTAAAGTGAAACTAAGACATATGCTTTTCTGCTTTAACAAGGCTACCTTCCAAAACGCTTTTTAAAGTAAACTGCCTCATGTTAAGCTGAGCTACCGAAAACCGCGTAACTACGCCGCCAAATATTCCACGAGAAATTAGAAGTCAGTTTGCTTTGGCTTATCTGATTATGGCAAAGTATATGTGGGCTAACTTCCTAAGAGCAGAGATGCCTTCCGGCAGGACTTTCTAAGAAAACCTGGCTCGTATTCATGAAATTACAAGTCGGAAAGAAACTGTTAATTTTCGACTTTTATGCTTGGCGACTACTATAAAAATTTTTAATAGCACAATTTCTAAACTAATTTAAAGAATATTTGACTAATATTTCAAAGGAATTGACTGATGAGACCTCGAAAATTAATATCAATGATCATACCATTTTGCAAACCACAAAGATTCGATATTGTAGCAAGTGAAATAAGCAGAACCCCCTTATCTTCACTGTCAACACATGTTTCTTATGACCGACCTTAATGCTGTTTGTATGGTGATACTGTTATGAGGCTTCATTTCCAGTTTCTGTACATTTTCACTGAAGACTTTGCTTCACTGGATGACCTTATTATTTTATCATTTATCAAATAAAACAGCAACTTAATTTGGTTTTCTTTAATAAATGTCAGCAGTATAGGTAACAAAATTTCTCTGCAGCTTTCAGTAATACATTTGGTTTTCAACCAGCCTTTCGTCGCCTAAGAAGCATTCAAGAGTTATTATCTAAATGGCAGAAACTAATGGAATATCTAACGGAATATAAATGGAACTAAGAGCATCTGTCCACCTTTTATCTCTGTTCTTTGCGCACGGAGCTAACTGATATGCATTTTATCTCTGGGGTTACGGCTAAAACGAAGCTGATATGCATTTTATCTCTGGAACTGCGGCTCAGAGGAAGCAGCTGCTTAGTTGTGGTACAAAGAATAATACCTGAATATCTCCTTTGTGCAACTGCTCCGTTTCCGTCCGCAGCCCCATAGATAAAATACACAGTCGGCAAGTTATGTTCCTTATGTCTGCTGAAGGTGCTGTTTCTGGCTTGCTCTGGCGCAGCCCGCAAAAAGGCCATAGGGCGACGTAAAGTCTGCCAGGAAGGTCGGACTGCGTCCCTCATATCATATCATATCATATCATATCATAACACCAAGCTTCACATTTGAATAGCAATGCATACCACTCGAAACCCGGACCGACTTACGCCAGGAAAATGCTTTTATCTGCTGCTCAATAGCGCCCTGTATCATTTCAGAGTGCCATTTCTGAACAAATATTCCATCACATAATCTCCTTATTTCGTTCATCTCTACCTACCTTTACATTTTTACCAGATAGTTTTTGGTTACCCTGTATGCAGTATTCTCAGTATCAAGTATCTTATACAGCCAATCCGTTTACAGTTTCTTAAAGAATGGAGTTTATTTTTCTTGGCAATATACGTTAATAAAAAGTTCTACCTCATTCATCCTTACAAAAACATATTTAATGGTTTTCGGCTATTTTGCACCTACACGAACTGACTTTTTATCTACAGTGCTCAAACATGTAAATGCACCCATCTCATCTACACGGTGCCTTAAGTTTAAAATGCGGATAAAATCTCTATTTGACCAGTTAAGGCCAAACAAATGGAAGTTAAAATTTACTGAAGTTCTCTTTCTGCTGTGAAACAACTAGAGAAATTATTTGATTCTGTATTGGAAAAGGGAATTTAAATTTATAATTTTATGCTATAATTAATGTATTTCAATGAAGAGGAATTGAATATAATCTGTGCAGCTGTTATTTAACCTGTAAATAATCAATATTGATTGCTAACTATGTGAAATCTAATGCATTTCGAATTAGGAAACACGAAAAATCATGTATGGACTCGTCGGTATTCGAACTCCTGATCTTCCGATCGTTAGATGGATGTGCTACCACTTACAGCACGATGTCACCCAGTGGGAAAGGTGAAAATGCCTTATAACTAAATGAGCTAAACTCAGCCCAACATTGGAACATTAGATGTAGTATATAGCGTATTTTGTTTATCAAGAATATTGTTTTATGATTTTAAATAGTCTTATTTTTAAAATTATATTACGAAATAAATGTTATTAGGGAGAGAAATAATTTAATGAGAAACGAAATTTTGCATATTTAAAAAAAATTCCTTTCCAAATTTTTATTCAAAAATGTCATATCAATCTGATTACTAGCGGAAAAGGCTTTTGTTTTCGTGTTCATTTGGCGACAAAATAACAGTAACTTACTGTCTTCCCCGACCTTTTTACTGACATGCATTCGTTAATCCAAATAATAGGTAGTTGAACACAAATCTTGTTGAGATTTAATTTCGAATAAAATGACCTATCGTGTTTCAGGATTTAAAAGAATATGCTTCGAATGCTCTGTAATAAATTATTTTGTTTAAAGGTGTTGGTATAACCACAAATGCAACGCAGAAGGTATATAAAAGTTAAATTTTAAAAGTTTGTAAATCCAGGGAATTTTTAATGCTTATACATTCAACAATAAAATGAAATCTTGAATGATTCTTTGATAAACGAGACTTATTTTAGCGTTATTATCATATCTGAAAATATCACCATCGACTGTCTGCAACTTCTAAACTCATGTGCATTTTAAACAAATTAGACGAGATAAGGGCCACAAAGGAAATTTTAAGAACTTCCTTATATTTCCAACTCTAGCTATCAATATAGAGAAAGAAAAGTAAATATAACCTCAGATTAATTGAGGAGATACTGTTGAGGAGAGAGGTCACCAAGATCACAAATACAAGATAAGATTTCGATACATTTAAAAGAAATTTTTTTCTTCGGAATTCTGAAGTAAATTTTCATGAAAAAAAATCGTAATCTTTCTGCGATCTAGTGAATATTTGTTTACTAAGTTCACTGTCATTCCGTCCTCTTTAATTTAGTTCAGTACCCAATTTTCAGCTCATATACCGCTATATTCAGAAATTTAACACGTAGGAAACGTATATTTACGACGCCCTCAGAACAGTGACTTGTTTACAAGGAAAAAAAAATCCCTTATTTGTTTTAGTTAAACAGAACTCCAAAATCCAAAATCAAAATTTATTTGACGGATTCTGTATGTTTAATTGTATAAAACTCATATTTATTTTCTTGTGAATATAACTCGAAAAAAACTGTTTTTATCTGACATGAAAAGATGAAATGGCTTCTGTGTTCATAACAGCACTGTGATTAATGAAGATGGAATTTAAAATTCCGACAGAAAGAGGAGTGGAACAAGAAAAAAAAAAAAAATTTCCCCCATTTTCCGTTTTTTCTTCATGTAATTATATCCCTCCTTAGCGGCAGCACTCAAGCATCGTTTTTCTTCCGAGTCACATTCTTTCCCCTCAACTTTTTTCTTGAATTATTTACTTAATTTTGAGCTCGTTTAACACTAATCAGTATTCTGGAAATTTTAGCCACTAATTTTTATAAAGAACAGTTTTAAATGAGAAAAAATACTTTTAGTAATTCGATCATGGCTAAATATTTCTTAAATTTAAATAAAGTATGAAGAATGTATGAAGACCTTAAATTAACAAAATAATATAGCCTTTTAAAGTAGTTAAATATCTCTCTTTGCAATGCTAGTATTGAAGAGCGTTTTTAAAATTACGAATTACACTTTTTAAATTATGAATTATAATGCTTGATTTTGCAGGGGCAAATTTGTTTGCTGGCTGAAGAAAGTTCATTGAAATGGGAACAGAAATACTTTAAAATGCAATAAAATTTAGCGGTTTTTCTTTTAAATTTATTTATTTGTTTATTTGTTTTGTGTTAGTTTGATTAACGAATATTCTGCGAATGTCACGTTTTGCTCCGATTTACCCTTGAGTCGTTTCTCGTCTACTTTTGCTTCATGAACACCTTGTACTAAAAAAAAAAATTTTAAAAAATACAGTTCTATATCTCCCTCTCTACTAAACCGATTGTCGAAATTTAACTTGCGTTTTCCATGTCTCGAAAATGCAACTTAGGATATATATTAGATTTATATATTGCATTTTTGACACAAAATCGGACTTTTTCCCAAATAACATACCATTTTTTCCATATTTGGATTCTACATCTCAAATTATGCCAAAGTGCGAAGTTTTGTAAAAATCTCCTGAGTAGTTTGTAAAAAATTAACTCTCAAAATTTATATTGTTTCTAAAATTTAAATTTCCAAAATTGTTCTCAATATTTTATTTTTCCCAATTTAATTGAATTTGGTATATATTTACTAATATCTCTTTTTTAATTAAACTTATTTGATTCTTTCTTTTACATTTCGAAATTTAGATTTATTCCAAATAAAATTCGTCCATTTTTTATTAATTATTTTTATTTATTTATTTTTATTGTTAAGTAATTTTTATAAATTTTTCGAAAACAACTTTGAATTATAACCTATACCTTAATCTTAAATGTTTACCTTAATGTTTACCTTAAATGTTTACCTTAAATGTTTACCTTATATGTTTACCTTCATCTTAAAGTAGATGTATTATTAACCATACCTGCAAATTATTAGAGTATTTTATTCAAAATTTCCTAAGATATACGTGAATTTACATAATGGTGCGTTCTGAAATTTGGCACATATGTTATAAGCGATAATAACGCCAAATGTAATTTAAACATTTTGTTGAAATTATTTGAAATGATGACCTTTTTTTCGCTCATGTACAATGAAAAAAGAAAAGGAAAATAGGTTCCTATAAATTAAGAAGTTCGTCAAGTGAATTATTCTTGGCGGAAACTTTAAAAAAATGCTCCAAGATAAATTTTTAAATTTCTCCATAAGACTCTCACCAAAAATTACAAAATTTAGTATTTAGGCATGATTTGAGTCGTAGAATCGAAATATGAAAAACAAATAGGTATGTTATTCCGAAAAAAGTTGGATTTCGTGTCAAAATACCTATGTTAGAATATTGCTATATATAAATCTAATATCTATCTTAAGTCGCGCTTTCGAGACATGGAGAACGCAAGTTAAATTTCCACAATCGGTCCAGTAGAAAGGGAGATATAAAACTGTCCCATTTTTTGTGCAAGTGTAATTTGCATTTGTTTTGATTTATTTTTACAAAGTTTAAGTCTCATCTGCATTTATTTCTCGTACACTTTTATTAAAGTATATAAAAATAATTTTAAATTGCTTAAGATCTGCATTTGTTGCCCCCTATGATTGATTAAGTTTTGATTTATTTTAAAATTATTTACAATTTGTTTAATATTTTTGGTGTTTATTTATTTAATCATTTATTTGATATTAAATTTATGTTCTATATTTTCGTCAACTGTTCTAGGTCACATTATTACTTACGTTTATTTATGTTTTTCGGCTGAAGTTTGCATACATGTTCCTTCGAAATGTTGTTACAAGATTTTAAACAAGCAAATACGAACACATTGTGAGGTTCTTATTTTCATTTTCATTTTCATATTTCGAACACATTGTGAGGTTTATTATTGTGAGGTACTAGTTTCTCGAAAACTACCTGCTTAAGAACATTTGCGTTTGTAGGGGAATTTAATCAAGGATTATCTAATTCGCGTCCGTTCTTATCTATTTAATCGCCAGCCATTCATGAGATGACACAAATTCTGGATTTCTTCGGATGCAGACGTTTTCTTCTAAAATCCCAGAAATGCTGAAATCATCCAAATTTGATCTCAAGGACTTGTAATAAGGACAGAGAGAAGCTGAAACATTTTGTCTGCCCTTAGAATCTTCTTAAAAGCTTACGCAACACCCTAGTTCGAAATTTCTTGATGAAAAAGGCTGGTAAATTTGCATAAGCCATAATTCAAGCTCGACTGCAATCCTAGGCACTTTAGCCAAATTCTGGGAAATATCTCTTCATAAATCAGTCGTCTTGGTTACCAAGAATTATATTTTAACAACAAAATTACCTTGATTACATTATTGAGAATGAGAAAAATAATATTACTTTAGGGAAGATTACAGATTTAGAATATTATTACTTTGTTTATAAAGTGCTTTTATTTTTAATTAAAGTCATCTTCGAACGATTCTTTTCTTTACAGAGAGACAGTTAGTGCACGAGTGGGCTCATTTGAGGTATGGCGTTTTTGACGAATATGGGATTCCGGGTGATAAACGTTATCCTATGTTTTATCATGAAAATAATAAAGTAAGTCTGTAATCAGTTACATCATGCATGTATAAATACAAGAATGTGAATTTGTAACTATATTTGATTTTGTGCTGTGTTCTGTTGGATTTTTTAACTTCCATTTTATACGAATAGTAAAGACCTGATGCTTTAAAATAAAGACCTGGAGAGCGATTATTTATACATATTTGTTTACTTTGAATTATCTATATACCTTTTGTATAAGAAAAATAGAAATAGAAATATAGTGTAAAATAGAAAGTTAAAACTTTTAACTGTAGACGAAACTGTAGATTGTGCTCATGAAATTTAAAAAAAAAAAAAGAAAAGAATAATAATAATGTAAAACTCTGAGCTGTCTACTTCTGGCTGATCCACTTCGAACAATAATGCCAAATGAGGGGAATATTCTCGAGTATTGTTTGAAGAGGTTATAGTGAAAAAAGGTTAAAACCCATGGTTATCCATACGTCGAAGAACCTTTGTTAAAACACAAAGGCTATCGTTATTGTAACAGAAAATTAGAAACAGTGGTTACTTCGAGAAGACAATTTAGAAACTGATTCTCAAAGCAGATCGCATTGCAGCGTTTATCTGAGAGCGTGCATCTGTGTGTGTGTATCGTGTATGGCACAGACAGGTTAAAAGCTGTGAAATTTAGAGCACATATTGCCTACACGCTGAAGGTGTGCCTCATCAAGGGATTTTTTTTTTTTAATTCAAGTTAGAATGTTTTTGAATTAATGTTGAAATTTTAGCACATATCCAAACGAGTATATTTATAACCTCAGACTTTTATTTTTCGCACTATTGAATACAATAAAAGAGCGTCTTTCAAATGAAATTTATTCTGAATCTCTAAATAAATTTATCGATTCTTGGTATTTTTTTTTCAGTTATTACACATCCGTTATATTTAAATTTCAATACCTAAAATTGTATTTGTTATAAGTTTTAGAAATTTTCGTAGAATATAAAACAATTCTTCGTCTTCTTTTGAAAAAAAATGATAAAAAAAAAAGAATAAAAAAAAAAGAATTAGGTGATTTTTCTTTCTTTTTTTTTTCTTTTGTTTTCTCCCACCCCTCAATGTGGGTGACTGAGTAGAAACCAAAAAAAAATGCAAAAGTCGTGTAAAAGCGCGTCTCGGCTGTGTTACGGATATTTGGATCTATTTCTTAGAGCTACAGCAGAATGGGCTTTGGATATATACATGCAGACTTAGTAATGTATTAATTTATATTTTTATAAGGAGTTATCGCATTTCTCATGCGTTGTTTTGATATGTAATTGGTAGCTTGTCGATATAAGTGGAAGATATCAGTGGTACTGCATCCAGTTAGCAATTAGAAAACTCGTGGTTCGTAACCAGGCGAGTTCTTAGCTGATTTCTTTGTGTACCTACTCCGGGGGGAAAAGAATTTAATATGTACATTTCATATGTTGGGAGTAAGAATATACTATTTTTGTAGTGTTTTGAGAATGAAATGGGAAGTGGTACCAAATGATTATATACCAGAACTCTTCCAAAAGCTGATTTTCTAAATTTTATTACTGTCTATTTAATACTCAAATATATATTTCCCATTCAAGTGTTCTATTCTTTCATTCATTTAATTTCTTTTTCCTACTATGTTTCTGCTTAAAGTTTAATGTACTGAGTAGAATTTTCAGAACAAATATAAATTAATGTCTCACTCTGACAATCAGTAACTACGGAGTTTATTATACTCTTCTTCTGCCATTTTAGTGTATATATCCCATTAGACTGCCACGAAAACAGGAATGGAAAAGGTTTCTAAAGAAGAAGTTATTAGGTTTCAAATTTCATTCAATTTTCCTTTCTTTTTAATACTAAAATTTCATTTCATTTATTACGTGCTCCCCCATGAAGCACTACACTGAATTGAGGGATGCCTCGTGAAGGACGTTTTAAGGAAACTGGCTCGCATGCACGATGCATATGCGGAAAACGACGAAAACGCCCATGTAGGCAGTCCTCTTTCGTCGGGACTCGAATCCCGGACCGAACTACCAGTGTTCAGCGGCTGTTACTACTCGGCCGCTGGTGGACAGTGCTCTGTAGGGCTGTGTAGAAGAATGTTCTGAGATTAAGAATTAATTAAATCCGTCGTTGCCAATGAATATCTGTTAAAAACGCCTGCAATTTTCGAAGTAAAATTCAAAGCAACGGTTCCTTACTCCGAGAAGATTTATACAATTGCTCTCAAAATTCTGGGAGAGGGCAGTTAAACTAATCTAAGAAGCACCGAAAGCTGAGATGTTGTAGAGTCATTAGGTTATTCTGAAGCAGGAGATATGAAAAAGGAGCAATGCCCTTTCCGGGACTCGAACCTAGACCTTTCGAATACTCGCCGAGTGTGCTACCGTTACACCATGAAGGCATGCTGGAAGGAGGGAGAAAATACCTTATATACTCCCACTTTTAAAGGACGATTGGGAATTAGGGGACCTAGTTACCAAATCCTGGTGGTGACAGATTAGGATTATTGTCTACCACCGCTTAATTTGAGCGTCACTGCACAGTCGGTAGCATTTTTTTTTAAATTGACAAACGTGAAAATTGTACAATGCCGTCACCGGAATTCGAACCAGTACCTCTCGAATACGCGCCGTGCGAGCTACTGTTATACCACGCAGGCATGCTGGAAGGAAGTAAAATAAATAAATAAATAAATAAATAAACTTTATAGTGTTAGTTTAGCAGAAAGCTGCTCTGCTATAGTAAGCACGTTGGAAAGGTGTGAGCAATAAAGAAAGTTCGCACACACATGCTATACAGAGATTTTACACTAGTTAAACATTGTCATAAGAAAATCAGTTGTACATATGGCTACACGTGACATGATTAAATATAGAAATTTCTCGAACATATTTAGCGATAGTGAGTTTTAAATTACGCCAGATACATATGCGCGATTGCAACAGATAAACCTTAGGAAAGATAATTTTTGTTGGAAGTAAAAGAACTTTCTTCCATCTCGTTCGCTTTAAATGGTTATTCATAAAATTGTGATCTGAAAAAAAGAAACATTTGTGCCTTTGAAAACACATTATTCCATTAATCAGGGATTATTCCATGTTATACAAAACGTGTGAAATGTTATAAAACTACTAAGGCCTGTTATTTATATGGTTCAAACCTCGCACCAGAAAGAAGGGCATCATTTAGTATGGGAAATGTAAGAGTTTGGATCAACAGCAACAGTGGTGAAGAGAGATTCAGTTTACACAGTGGTTTCTACTGACGTCAAGGGAATGTGATTGCTACTCTTGTGGGGAAAGAGTATGAAAAAAAAAAAACATGTCAAATGAATATACGCCCTTGTACGCGTTTATGAACTTGCAAGTGATAATAGAGGTGGAGTGTTAAAATATTCTATAAGGAGTCTCAGTAGTGACACTTTTTATAACTTTGCTTAAATCAGTCATGATAATTCTCATCCACGCAAAACTAAAAAAAATTTTGGGACACACTGAAAAGAGTTATTGAAAACTGTCTAATTGCTTCAAGAGCATTCCAAGCAATAAAATATATTTTGTGAAGGAGAGACGTTAATGCCTGAAGTTTTAATAAATACTTTTATTTCATAGTACTTAGTCCCATTGTGATATCTGTGCAAGGTCAGAAGTGATTACATATCTTAATTCATTCAAAAATCATAAACAATTTTTAAGTCACTTCATTTTTTAGAAATCTCTTTTTCTAAGTATTTATAATTTTACATTTAAATTATGTTAGCATTTATAACTACTTCCAGTTTAAAAAATTATATACTGCAATATTAATTGTCATTTTAGATTCGCCCTACAAGTTGTGTTCGTGATATCAAGGGATGGATAGAGTCACGTGATGGAGGACCCTGTTCGATAACTACGAACGGCGATGTTGATACCGACTGCATATTTATACCTAATATGCACAGCAATGAAGCTAAAGCTTCCATTATGTACATGCCTTTCATACCTTCTGTGAGTCACCCTATATTTTATCTTATTACTGCGAGAATTTATTGTATGAGGCTATCATTATTTTTTCTTATATTAATTTAATGCTTTTGCGTTTCACATTTTTGCATATTTATTGTATTGTTGATTTGTAGGAAATCTATACGAATGAAATGTGCCAGATAACATATACAATCAATGACAACGATATAATTGATAAGACTGTGTTGATTAACTAAAGGAAAATACATTTTTATATCTTCTATGATATATTGCAGTTGCAATTAACACACGGGTGTTGTCCGAAACCGTTTATATATAACACGTTCCGGAATGACATGCCTAACAACAAAACGTTGATAAATCAAGAGCCGGTCTGTAAATATCCCAGTTTATTATAATATAACCTGAAGCAATAAACCTGTGCTAAAACAATTCAAAAGTTTCATTTTATAGAAATAAATAAAAAATTTTAAAAAATTGAAATTTTCAGAATTTTTTTAAGAAATAATTTTATAAATTATACTATCAAATGATACATGGGCCGCCTTACGGAAGTAAATGTGCTTACAAGAGCATGAGGATGTTTTGGTTCACGTGCACATGCCCACATATCGATCATATCTATGGTTTATTTAATAATGGTTTTCGTGAATTATTTTTATGCATTTAAATCAGCAAAATATAAAAGTTAAAAGTAGTTTAAAAATAAAAAACTTTAAAATTCACAGGATAGTAAATTAAACGCTAACTGATAATATTTTAATAATTATCAAGCGAAAGTGCCTCTACTTAATCATTTTTCTTCCTCTTTACGTTAGAAACCTTTATATCTATGGTCTTTCTAGCTATGGGGATAGTTACGTTTCCAGGGTAATTATTATCACTCACGCGACTAGATAATGTAGCCGTTCCAAGAAATATAAGCCTTTTTGATAGTTTACACGCAGTAGGTAACAGCCAGTTCTCAGAGTGTTGCTTTCCTACGTGGCATTAGATCTTTAATTTATTTCCTTCAGTTTTAACTTCAGTTGCTTAATAATTTGAGATATCTAAAAGCAATAAACGTAATTCCTAATAGTTAATACATTTATGTTTTTAGTAATGTATTTTACTGAAATAGGTTCTAATACATTTAACTGATGTAATTTTGTAACATAATAGAATTTTAATAAGTCGAATTGAAAATGTCAAAACGTAGACATGGAAATTAATGTTAACATTCAGCAATTAATTCATTTCTTTATATGCGGAATTTCTATGAACATTTACTCCATTACTATAGTTCATAAAAGGAGTTCGTAAAGCCACATATCACATATCTTGATAGAGAATATTCGCTTGGTTTCTAACATAAACAATTAACCCATGCTTGAGAATTATTAATATTTTTGGTTCTGTATTTTCATAGCTTAACTCTTAATTACTGTTTAATCGTTCCGGATTGCAATCGGAAATATATTTTCTTTACTTAAAAGCTTCTAGTCTAATTATTTCTTATATATAGTGCCTGCATAATCAGAATGTAAACTATTATGTAATCGATGGTGAGCTTTCCAAGTATAAATACTGAAATTACTGTTTAAGTTATTTCTTTTAAGATGGAAGGTTTCTGCGATGACGATACTCACAAGCACAACATGTTTGCACCTACAAAGCATAATGCAATGTGTAACTACAGGAGCACTTGGGATGTCATTTCAAATCATCCTGACTTCCAGACACTTAGGTAATTTAGTTATATATCATATTCTGTAATATTTGGATTTGAAATAAAACTTAAATGTAGAGAACTTTCTTATGAAGAATTTATTTATTTCAGAGCAAAACGAGATACGAGTTCGGAGTTTTCTGATACATTGTTCCGTATACTTCAGTCACCAAAAAGTGCAAATTCACGTTATGTTCTTGTCCTAGATATTTCTGGAAGCATGAATGTCAGTTATTAACATTTTATTCTTATACGATGTATTTTTATTAAAGCAACTGAAATTTGCAAGTTTAATAACCAACATTTTATTTTTGTTCTCCTTGCTAGGGACAACCTATGAAACTTCTGCATAGCGCGGCTACCAGACTAATCGAAGATCGTGTTCCTGATGGTACACGCCTTGGCATCGTAGAGTTCAGTTCAACAGCTCGGATTTTAAATAACCTCACTGAAGTGAATAATGTCACAAGAGATCAGCTTAGCCGAAATTTGCCGGCAAAGGATGATGGTGGACTAACAGCAATTGGCAAAGCTTTAGAAAAAGCTATACAAGTCAGTCATCATGTTTCTTATAATAATTCTAGTCAATATTTATGTTTCTTATTATAATGCCATTCGCTTATTAATGTATTTTCTGTTTCTTTTATCATTTTTGTAGGTGTATGTAAATGTATTGTTTAAAACCTTTTTGGAAAAAATTAATTGAGCATGTATGATAAAAATAATGACCGATATACAATAACTAGCTATTTTAAATTGGCTCCTTGCAGTATGATAAAAAGGGAAGGACATTTTCCACAAATTAGCAAATCTTCTTTGAAATCATCGGAAATGAAAGTTGGCTAATACCTGAATGAAAGGAGGGAATTCTTTTGGGTTAATTCCGTTATTTCGATGTCATATCTTGAAGGCATTCGATCTTAGTTAATCGTATTACATGTGAATTGTTAATTTAATTTAGTATATTGCCCTTCAGAAGGTAAGGAACAAATAGCTTATAGGGAGGAGATTTTAAACGCAAACAGTACAGAAACATGAAAATACGTACATATCTGAACCATGTAATGAGTTGCTACATTTCATAAGAGTTATGCATCTTCTGTTCCTGGAAAAAAGTATAAGTCCAGGTTATCAGCAAACCCATAGTTAATGAGATTTGGAGCAAATGTCTTTTGCTCAAATAAGTTAGAAGAATAAATTTATTATGGAATATGTTTTCTTCTGGCGCGAATGTTGTCTTGATAGCTCTTCATCATGTTGTCGATTAATTAGATACTTCCTTCATTTGACAGCAAAGATAACACCCCTTTCTATACCCCTTTGAAACTCATTTAAGAACTTTGGAGGAAAAGACGAAACGGTAGCTCTCTTCCCATTACTATCTGGTGCTCGAGTTGGCTGTTGCATTCTCTGAATACCTTTCTCGTAATGGTTGCCAGCACATGTTATCGACCATTAAAATTGCCTGTACATGGTCTTATATAAGAAGTGAGGATGTGGCTCCTGTATGTTTGAGCTATGACAGATCCCGCTAGCAATACAGGAGTGTAGGTCATCTTAACCGATTCCTATTGAAGTGAAGATAACATCGCCTCACTATGTGTCATGTTCAACAAGATTTAATAGTTAAGACACAATAACACGCCGAATAAATACTGATTCAGAAGTCAAACAACAAAAATCAGCGTTAATTCACAAAATTTTCACAGGACTAGTTTCGATGGTTTTACCGAACCATCATCTTCAGCTACAAAACCGCAAATGAACAAGATAGGAAATAATGTTTAGATAAGATAAGAAAGCCTGGATAAGAATAAGCAAGTGGCGCCATCTGTTGGCGAAACCAGAACTAAAACATAATTTCTCTAAAAGCCGAAGGCAAAGATGGATTGGAATTAGGGTCGTTAACTAGAACAAGAAAGATTTTTATTGCAATGTGAAATGCCTCTAGAAAATCTAGTTCGCCAATGGAAGATGTTTTTGAATAATTTTGGCAGCAGAGAAAAATTGAAAGTGTGAGTTTTCGGAGAGTGTGAGTTCAATGTTGAGGCAACAGAAGACTTTCTGTGTTTCCTTTTTTCTAAACATACTGCCTCATGTTCTTTGACGGCGATAATTTTAAGGCTCTCTTAGTTTGGCCAATGTAAATTAAACCACACTGGCAAGGAATCCTATAAATTACTCCAGGAATTCATATCCGGAAATGGGGTCCTTGAGTATAGGAAGTTGGAATTTTATTGATGGGAGAGTAAACAACCCGAAAGTTAAATTTCTGCAAAATATGTGCAACTATATAGCTAATTGATGGAAAGAAGGGAATGACAACAGAATTTTTATAATCTCCTAAAATAAGAGTGTGGCTTTTAGTGTGTGTTGAGATGAGAATTTTTTAAACTGCTTGATTAATAATGTTGGGTGAAAAGCCCCTGTCAATAGCTATTGCTTTTAAATAATTTAGTTCTTCATCAAGGGCTAGTTTGGAGGAGCAAACTTGAAGAGCACGGAAAACATAGGAATAAAATGAAGCTAACTTTGTTTAGTCGGATGACATGATTTAAAGTGTGGTGGAAGGCAAACCGATGAAGGTTTACGGTAAACTGTAGTACTGAAGTTGGATGTGTTACGTGTGACCAGAATGTCGAGAAACGGAAGAGAATTGCAAGTCTCAAGTTCAAAAGTGAACTGAATGGCAGGATCAATAGAATTCATTGTTGAAAAAACTCTATTTAAATCATCTTTATTACCTTCAAACAGGGTAAAAGTATCGTCTACGTAGCGGAACCATGCCGGGAAGTTTAAAGTTTCAAACAATTTTGATTCATAATAATGCATGTAGATATCAGCCAGGATGGGACTGAGGGGGCTTCCCATGGCTAATCCCTCAGTTTGCTTGTAATATTTATTTTGGAAAACAAAATGTGTTTGTTTCAAACAAAGTTGAGTAAGAGAAATTAGCTCATCAATTTCGATGCAAGAGAAATGAAATTCGCGAAGTCTGGTTTCTAGACATCTTAATGCACCCTCCATTGGGACATTGGTGAATAATGATTTTACATCAAAAGAAACCATGAGTAAATTACGAGGAGAAATGTTTTTAACCTTTTTTACAAACTCTATTGAATTTTTTATGGTGTAAATGTTATTGTCTAATAGAGTGGAAAATCTAGAAACTAAATATTTAGCTAATGGATACGATCTAACATTATTTCCTATCTTGTTCATTTGCGGTTTTGCAGCTGAAGATGATGGTTCGGTAAAACCATCGAAACTAGTCCTGTGAAAATTTTGTGAAATTAACGCTGATTTTTGTTGTTTGACTTCTGAATCAAGATTTAATAGCTTTATGATATTCATTAAACTTTATAGTTTACAACACAAAGTGAATCCCTCTGTAGATAATATCTGTAACAATGAGTTTTGTAAATGTGCCTTAAGTACAGTGCAATGGTCAATGCAATGCATATTATAAGATGTACATATAGTGTAATAAGTATGTATAGCACTGTGTTAACATGCGATGTAACCAGGAGAAGGTTTAATTCCGCATGCAGAAAACTCTGATACTTTGCCCTTGTATGGCCATGTATTGTCTCAATTTCGGAGTGTGGCTTCAGATAGTTGCGGAATCCGGATGATACCCGATTAGTTTAGGCTAGCCGCCCGGACCTGCTTTCACCTGTCACCTGTAGATAATACCTGTAGACTAAGCTGTAAACAATGCTAAGAATGACAGCCGCTAATAATGCTGTAAATAATGCTCTACTGTCTGCTTCGCGTGACATGTTCTGTTGCCCATCTCAGTCGTTGTGCTCTGTAGGAAGAGGTGACTGGAATCAACCAGCCGATCTTCTTAACAAGCATTCCATGCATATGCAGTCTTCTTTCCACAGTAGATTAAGGTATTCTTTCCCTTGCAAGTGCAGAAATAACGGCGACAAGCTGAGGCATCATTCTCTTTTGTCATCATCAAGCCGGAAAAAAAAAAAAATCAGAAAGCGCTCTTCAGGAGTTGTCACCACCGCAAGTTCTGAAAATGTTCATCTCGTCTCCGTACTTTCGCTGAGAAATTGATTTCTCAGTCTGTGGAAGATAATACGGCTCATATTTAATTGTCTTTCAGATTTAGCCTGCAAAATTCCATCCAGCCAAATACTTGTAATCTTAAAATTCCAGCAAATGATTTCTCTCTAGAATATCGTTTCCAGTATTTTCATAGAGGAATCTTCAGCAAATATAAATGCTTTTCAAAATAAATTTCTTATCATCTAAAGAATATCGTCACGTATATCTGAATTTAAATTTATGTGCCAACGCTTTATAAGAGATAGTGACACTTTTCTATCGATTGTATTTTGCATCATACGTTTTTTCTTAATAAGGGTTTTGACGTTCTTATTAGTTTTAGGGGCAACACTAAAGCTGAAAAGAATATTTTTTCCTTAACTTTTTAAGGGCAATATAGTTACCACGCTACTAAATATAGCTATACTTTTACCGAATATTGCATAATGCATAAACAGAAAAATTTAACCGTAATTACAGAATTCCTAAGATGCGAATACTGTGAAGATAGATATCGACCTGTGGAAGAATGTTTCGCTCATATACATATCACGACGCTTCCCCGTCAAACCTCAAATAAAGACGACGGCAATCATTTTCAAGGCATATACAGAGTGCTCGTAAAGTATCAAACAGAAAGATAGAGGCGACAATAAAAACCAGATTTGTAATGGAATGTGAATGCTCAAATGGAGTGTTTTAAGTGGTAGAGAGTGCTATTGTATGGGAGGCAAAAGCATTCTTATGGCGTGAATTGTCATTCTCCGTGCAGATTTCGAATGAAGTATATTGTTAACCGAAAGCAGCAGCTGCCCAAAGGTGTTACATGGGTTAAACAGTCGTTCATTATACTTCTTTTTTTTTTTATCTGTTCCGTTGTAGTCACAAACCCATAGATAAAATGCATATCAGCGAGCTTTACGCTTTGTTTGCGGAGCGATGCGTACCGCTAGAAACCGCGCTGGGAAAGGCATATTCGCCATCTGAACACTTTTACCTTACGCTTCCTGTACCGCCTCAATGAGCTATTTTGGCACACACATTCCATTACAAAATCTGCTTGTTTCAGTCTCTTCTCTCTGCCTCTACATTTTTGCTAGATATTTTCAGAGCGCCCTGTAATTTCCAGGTGATAAACTGTAATAAAATAGCTATTCAGTAAAAAACGTTTCTTTCATCATTCTTATTCCTTTTCGGAACAGATTATGCATCGATATTTCCTTATCGGTTGTATGAAATTTACATGTGAAGTATGTCCAACAAATTTCGCGGCATCGAGTGTAAACTTTTTAAAGAGTAGCAGTACAACTTAAGGAAACGGGGTCAATTTATTTATAAATATAATGCGTAAATAACTCTAAAATATTTCGATGTTAACTTATAAGGTATTTCTCCCGCCTTCCTAGCGTGCCACCGTGGTGTAGTGGTTCTGCACGCTGGACCGGTATTCCAGAGGTCCGTGGTTCGATTCCCGGCGAAGGCGTTTGCTAATTTTTCATCTTGCCTGCTTCCAAAAATACCTAATGTCTCTACAAACTTATTTCTTTAAAATAAAAAATCTCAAAATCAAACTGCACTGTTTAAATTTTTATCTACTGAAATAAATTGGTCAAAATTTGCACTTATTATAAGTTACATTTTTAAATGTTTCTAACTTTCACAGAATAAGATACTAAAAGAAAAGTTTTCATCTATTTTATGCGTTATTCATACACTACATACGTTTACTTTTATGCTTCATTTACATTGAATAATAATAAAACAATTAATAAGGTAAAATTCAGGAGACCCATAAAATTTCCGTAAATCTTCCCTAGAAGATAATTCAAATATCTTTGGATAGCTCTTCCCCCCCCAAAAAAAAATTAATTAACCTGATAAAAGATTGTTGTTTGAGAAAAATAAGGGCCGAACAATGGTTCTGGTAAATAATCTACATGCCTGATTAAATTAAAAAACATTATAATATTTGAAATATCAGTTCTTATTTCGATTCAGTAATATGATTACATACATGGATAATTTTTTCCTATTCTATTAAGGTCCTAACGAATGATAATGGTACCGCAGAAGGTGGATTGATTATGCTAATAACAGATGGTGAAGAAAATGTCGAACCATTTATACAAGATATTCTTCCAGGAATTCTAAAGCACAATGTTGTCATAAATGCTGTTGCATTTGGCTCAAACGCTAGCGAAAAACTGGAAAATATGACAATGGTTACTGGTGGTAGAGGTTATTTTTTTGCCTATGACGGTAAACGTTCATCCTATGCCTTAGACTCGGCATTTTTGGAATCCATCACTTCCCAAGCCGATGTTGAATTGCAGCCTGTGCAGGTACGTTTCTCATTGCGCTCTTATTTTACATACTTAAATTACATCCAACACGTAGAAATTTCTTAAGCATGTCCATCCACATCATGATGTCTGTGTAATCACATGTCAAAACTAAGATCAGTTTATATTAACATTCATTTTTAGTTACAAATTGTAATTTAGTCAGTAATTGTTTTTGTACCTATCTAATGAAATTCATTCTTTAAAAATATTTGTTCCTTTAATAATAGCAAAATTTCCTGGTGTTAGGTCCATATGTTAGTTTGAGAATAGAGCTGTCTTTGATGTCCACTCTCGAAATTTCTCTCCCTCTACTCTCTCAGGTGTACTTCTAAATTTCTTTTAATTTATAATTATACTTTTTCAAATAAAGATTAATTATGTTTTTAATTTAGTGAAAATATTTAGTTTGCTTTATTTGAATATTTGAGGTTGCTAGCATCTGATTTTTCCTGAATCCTATGAGCTACTAACAATTTAGAAAACTGCAGTTCAGTTTATTAATCAAAGAACAATGTGTATTATTTCTTGTTTAATGAAACAGTATGTAACGCTCGTGAAGTGGGAAATTTAATTCTATCATACCGAAAAATTTAAAAAATAGAATCGAAAAATCGAATTTAACCTATCGTATCGAAAAATTTTTAAAAGGTTGTACAGTAATTCAATGCTCTTTCTTATAAGTATTAGGAGTCCTTCTAATAATGCATGTGAAATATATGCTCCATTTAAAAACTAAAACTAATTTATTATTTCAGCTCAAAGATGAAATGTTCGATCTTGACGAAGCTGTTATTACTAAATACGTGTACATAGATGAAGAGCTTGGTAAAGATACTGTTTTCACTGTTATGTCGTCTCACATAGAAAGAGTAGGAGACTTAATTTTGAGAAGTCCAAGTGGTACTTTATATGATCATACTTACCAACAGTATGACCGGGATGATCGTTCTCGGCAACGGATAAGAATATCTGTACCAGAATCTGAGGTAAGTGGAACAGAGAAACGCACAAGCTGTTTCATTGGTATTTTACCAAAAACATTTTATTAAGCTCTATACCATGGGTGGCCGTCTTTTCACTAAGAGCATTGTCCAGGGTTACGCCTGCAAAGGATAAAAGGCATAATTGAAACAACAGAACCTTGCATGATTGTTGAAGTAATTGCAAGAATGGAAGTGCTATACACATTTACTCATAGGAAACATTGGGTGTCCCTTTGCACTTCTACATGAACATGAAGTAATTGCACCTGCAAAGGAGATAAGGCATAACTGAAATAACCCAAAGGTTAGATGACTGCTGAAGTATCGCCCATCGCTATCAGATAGTCAGATAGTAGCCAGCCGCCGTTAACCATCACACCTTTTTGAGCAACTAAAGGTTTACAATATTATGCAACTTTTAAGACCTGTTATTAAAGTATAAAGGAATCTAAAAATATATCTTCAAAAAATTAAATTTAATGAAAATTTCACTAATGCGTTTTCAATCTGTGTTTCATTTATTTTATTTTCTACGAATTTAAATACCGTTTAACCTCTAAATACTCTCAGTTGCTTCATGGTGTATAATCATACCTCTCTGGGGGGGCAGTAAATAAATTAAACGTTGTTACAAAGTTACAATTGTTTAAATTGTCGGTTATTACTTGATACTTGCGGAACAGCAAATCGTTCCCACAATTTTTCTCATGTGTATCATGAAATGGACCAATCACCTTAAAGTATCTGCGAGTAAGGCATATCCTCCGTAAGCAGGTAATCCTCGTGTGCTTAGTCTCAGCTTACACAAATATGTAGTCGTTGCTTGAACCACGGGATACCATCCCCCATGATATGTCCACGGAACTACTTTTGTACGTGGACGTGTGTGACAAAGTTTACTTTCATATTCGACTTCCAAAAAGCGGTTTTAGCTTCAGTTTTTCAGTAATGAGGCGTTCCGCCTAGAATCTCGAAAGGGCCAATTATTCAAAACTTGTGCATTTTAGTTGCATCAGTCTTTTTCCCAAACAAAGGTATGTCTCATGTACGTCTCGCTTCTCTCTCCTATCTGCCTCCCTGATATATTTTCATATTCATTCAAATGCCTTACTCAGGACCTGATTACAACTTAGTCCATGAGTATTCGGGCTTAATTGAAACTTAATTCAGTGCCTAGGGCGCTGGTGCTATTTCCAAGAGACTAGACGATGGTGACATAAATAACGAAAAATTCTTCGTTTAGCTAGAAATGCTTCAAAGTTTTATTTTCATTACTGCTAGAGAAAGCAAAATAGGGGCGTGTAAGAGCGGTTCTTTTGAATTTTTGCAGTTTATTCTAAAACATAGTCTCAAGAGCAAAGCTCCAAATGTTGTAATACCACAGCGAACTTTGCACACAATTGCTGTAATTTTTAACTAAGAGAGGAGATTTTTAAATAAAAATCATTTTAAAAGTTTTTAAGGAATGAAAATATATATTTCTCATTTAAGAAATTTTTCTGTACTATCTATATAACAACAGTAAACGCTTGTAATGTCATCGATGGTTATAATATAATTTTAAAATACTGTAGTTAAAGTTTAACTTAAAATAAACTTTAAGTAAAAATAACCATAGAGTTTTAATTTATTTCCCTACATGTAATTTTTGCTTTTTAATTGTTCTTTGCTTATGTATTAAGAGGAGCGGCAAATTTAGGGACCGCCACCCTTTCGAAAGGAGGACTGATGTACAGATCTCAAGCAAACTTTATGAAAAGTTAATTCTAACTTCTAGAGTAGTAAAACGTATTTTGAATGACTGAAATCTTTTTCTGTAAAAAACGTGCTAAAATAGTGTAAAAATCATGTTTCAGTAAACGATGTAAAAAAGGCTCATTTCCAGTCTCAAGTGACATTGTGAAAGTTGTATTACTATTACAGGCCCCATATTATATCCTCCTTTCGCGTTCGATTTTGCAGCCCTTTGTTTTAGACCTTCCTGAGCCGATAAACATTATGCCTAATCGTGAGTGTATACCAAAGCTGTTACATTGAATATATGATAAATTTTCAGTGTTATATCAACCTATGTCCATACCATATTTATTCAAAATCTACCCATCAGTTCTGGAAACAAAAGACCAAATGTGAAAATTACTATAATTGTGAACACCATTGTCAATGAACCGAGTCTAACGTGTCTAGACTTGCATTTACCATACGAAAAATAATCGGGTGTTATCTTTTCGCAAAAATACCCCACGAAAGAGAATGAAAAATATACGGTGGCAAAAGTGCACCCAGAAGTATTGCACTGCAAAAACCTGCAACATTTGGGATTCTACATGTAACTGTTTAGAAGTTTTCGAAATGCACTGCTTAACTCCTTAGGTCTACCAGCCTGCTTCTTATTTTTCCTTTATGACCTCATCACTAAATGTCTTATAGTCCATGTCTACTGCTTAACAGTAATGATTCAAATTTACTTTAATTCTGATCATAATCTGAGTTGAAAGCTACATAGTCCGTTGAATTTAAATAAAAAAAATTGTTGCTTTTTCAGGCAGGTAAATGGGAAGCAATAATTCGCAGAAGAGGAGATTCCTCGATACAGGTGAATTTTGCAGTCACATCTGAACCGAAGGATGTACGAGATCAGCCTATTCGAGTTCGCTCCTGGATGAATGAAATTCAGTTGCAATTCCCAGCTTATGCCAAAGTTTACGCCGAAGTGAAGAAAGGCTATATGGCTGTTATCGGGGCCACAGTTCTAGCTACTATTGAAAGACCGATGGGATCCCCAGTCGATATTGAATTACATGACAATGGAGTAGGTATGACAATTATTTTCTTTATTATGTATGTTAATTAACTAATAATTAATGTCTGCAAGATAATGCCGAGAATTTTTCAGAAAGTTGGAAGTACAAATTTCGTCAAAATTTGTTATCTGAATATTTATAAACCGAGTTGGCTGTAATTAGCTGAAAGCAGGTTTTCTTTTCATTTTATTGCTTTCCAATAAAACATAAATATGATTAACATTTCTCTAAACCTTTCTGGTTGATCATGTAAAGAAATAAGGCTCATTTTTTCTAGCAGAGTGAAAATGATTTTGGATTACAGGATAAGATCTGAAATCGAAAAGTAGAGGAGAGAATGATCCGGAATACTATAGTTATATTAAACGTAAACTTTTGAAGATTTTCCTGAAAGTTTTATTGTGTAATAAATGCATTTCGAACACGACAAAAATTACGAAAATAATTTTTTTCTGCTGTATTAGCAAGAAAAGTTTTCTAACATTAATTTGCTTTCAAAAACTACATCTGATTCCATATATTTAAAAGTAATGATAACAATAAAATCTAGCTACTAAAAACCCTAGAGATAATATAGAGAAAATTTTAAAAAACAAGTTTTTATCGATAAATAAAAACTTTTGATCACATTTGGCCCGTTTTTTGAGTCCTACTCTTCGAACGATGGCTTTACTATTGTGAAAGTGGTGAATGTTTTACCACAGTTGAACATCGCAATGACGAATTTAAAGAGCCCGGAAGTTCGACTCGCTGTAGCCAGCAGTTCATTATACCGTATATACCCGCGTATAAGTCGATACCGCGTATAAGTCGACCCCCCCCACTTCGACATAAAAAATTTGTAGAAAATAAGAAACCCGCGTATAAGTCGACCCCCCACTTCCGAAATCGATCGAGAAAACTTCGAAAAAAATTTTTTTAAGTACTACATTTATTCAAAATCATCTGAGATTCAGTCTCGAACTCTGTATTGTTACAATCACTACTAGAGCCTTCGTCGTCATTTTCACTTTCAAAAACAGCATCATCTTCCGTGCCGTCTAGTTCGTTGCTGCTAATACAACATTTTTTAAATGATTTTATAATAATTTCAGAGGGACTCTATAATTAGTTCGTCACATAATTTAAGTCATGAAATTACTTCAAGTAAGTGACTTATTTAATAAGTCGTCCAATTTGAGTGCGGGAAGAAAACAACTGCATTATATAAAGAAATTTTTGAACTTCCGATTCTTTTAATTTTTTATGGCCCCGCGTATAAGTCGACCCCTCCCCCCACTTTGAAGTCTTTTTTTTTTTTTTTGTCTAAAATATCTCGACTTATACGCGGGTATATACGGTAACTGATTCAATAATGATTAAAAGATGAGAAACAAAAACATGTGAAAACTAAATGATTAATCACAAAAGAAAGCGAGATAACATTGTCACATCTGCCAAAAGAAACGAACAATTGAACTAATTTTTAAAAAAAAACTCTGATGTGGCTAGAATATATTAAGAGAACTTTCACATCCAGTTGATCATTTGTAAATAAAATCTAACTTGTTTACAGACGTTATCGCTCAATGTTAATTATAAACACTACTCATGATTTATTATTTTATTTTCCTATACACTGGACAATGACAACTATGCGTTCTCATGTACTTATCATTTCACATGTTTTGATTTGACTATATTCCATCGATTGTAATATATTCTCTGGTCATTAGCATTTCGGATTCCCATATCAGTGACTTAACAAGAAGAATTCCCAATAGAGTGTTAAGGGTTACCATGCACTTCCTTTTCAGTGATTTCTCAGTTTATGATGTCGGTGTTCTATTTTCTTAAAAAGACAGCTAATTTTTTTATTTGGTATTTTAGCTTTATTTACTAAACATCGCTTTTTCTGCCTGACAGCTCAGTCAAAAAATTTGAATGGAATCAGAGAAACTATTCACACTCTTTGATTCAATAGTCACATACACCACCTCATATCGTAAGATATACTTATTGTTCCTCGTTCTCCTAGAACTGGGATCACATTTGTCCCGCAGTGTCTTTGTTTAGAAGAAAGTGGGAGTAAAGATAAAACAAAAATAACGTAAAGGTATTTTTGTTTTATCTGTTTGTTAACAAAAATAACGTAAAGGTTCCTTACGAATGGAAAGAGGATCCTAACATCCTAAACCTAAATGATTTTAAGGTCACTAATTTTCTCGTTAAAATTTCAATTACCGCCCAAGGGAGGCGTAGTTTGTTAGCGTCGAGTTGACGCATTGTAAATTTAAAGCGTTTGATAAAGGGTACTTCAATGTAGTTACTACGAGAACTTACTACACTTATAATTGTCACTTAGGAAGATAAGCAAATGAACCTTACAAGAGGATCATCTACACACCTTTAGGTGCTTGTTGTTCCTGTAGAACGATGTCTTGTTTAAGCGAGTAATGCGCCCCCCCCATGATTCATACGTTGCACAGAAGTGATTCAAAAGTACAGCAGAAAGGATGGAATTACTCAACTGGCCTCTAAGATATGAATCTTTTAGAGCATCTATAGAACGAGTTGCAACGGCCTTTTTACTTTCTGGACTCATCACATTGGTCTGTGATGGATTCACGATCGAAACTGCAGGATTGCTTAGCGACCGTATCCCCATCTAGCTTTCAGTAGCTCATCTAATTACTTCCCAAATTGCTGTTATCCGCACAAAAGGTGTAGCCGCGCGTTACAGAACTATGTATAATCATTTGTCTTTTCAGCATTGGTATATGAAATTTTTTATGTGTTTCAGTTATAATCGTAATTATCGTGCTCTAACTTTTCCCCGTTTTGGGAATAGTCTGTTAGCAGTAGTCATTTGTTAGCAGTAGTAAATGTCAATCCCTTTTCTGCTTACTCATGTCTTGCTATCAAAAATCGCTGGCCGGAAAAATGCAGAAGGTAAATTTTGGTAGTTCGAATCACTTCAGGAAAGGATGAAGAAAAACATCTAATGAATAAAGGAAACCCTAATGAGGACTAAGTCCGCTTTTCATATTAGAGCTGCAGTTTCTTCGCCGTAAGAATTTTCGTCGTCGTGGTGTTATGTCGCTAGCAATACAGTAGCCATTTTGTCTTCCGTAAAATTCGAGACTTCATGCTTATTTACTCTTTAATATCTCGGACTCGAAGAAATTCTCGGCGTACACAAAAATTACTTCTTAAAAATTTTTCCGCTGCTCTGAAATTCCGCACTTAACTAGGTAACTAGCCCAGATGTTGATGGGTGGAATATCGCAAAATTGCCGTCAGGCATGAAGATTGTTTAAAACTTTAACTAATCCACATGGGTCCCTAGAGTCACGACTTCGCAAAGCTAAGAATTAGAAAAAACTGCTTTTCGTTAAAACAAAAAGAAAAAAAGAAAAGAAGAGGAAGAAGAAAAGAAAGAAAGTAGGAAAACGAGTAAAAACAAAGTAAAGAAAGTCGACAATCTGATTATCCCGACGCTGAGTCAGTTACGAACACTGCTTGCCAAAAGAAAAGCAAACATCCTGCATATTGAAAAAAAAAAAAAAAGGTATGTTTTTTGACGGTGAAAATTCTTCACTATATTGATCATCCATTCACATAGAAATTTAAATATCTAAGGAATCATTTTAACCACATTCAAGAAACTGAATACACACGAAAATGCTCTTTGTTTTTACCAACTGCCTACAACAAAATTTAGGTGGGGGGGCTTTAACCTAGTTTAAAAGGGATTATTATGGCAATACAACCTGCTGATAAAAATTGGTTAGAAATAAGAATTCTCTTAGATTAAGAGGAATCTGCATTAAAATTGAGAGAAGATACTTCTTTAAGAAACGTCAAATTTCTTGAAACAAACTTTTAAAATTTCGATCAGTAGCAAACATTCAGTAACCTTCTGGGAAATAATCCCTTTTCCTTTAATAAGCACTTAAGTTAAATCTCAAAAGTTATGATCAGAAAATATATTTTAAATTATTTTCTTACAAGCACATTAAGAAATAAGGTCATTACTGTAATTAAAACTGAGCTTAGAATTTGATCTTGTTACGTTAGATGAAAGATAATAATTACTGAACACAAATTAAGATTAACATTGAAAAGAAATTAAAATATACAATATTGTTTTACTGAAAGCTCTTCCTCGATAATTTAACTAAGTTCGCAATCTATGCTTTGAAGCTAAACTATCAATCAGTACAGCTGACATTTTTTTTTTTTTTTCTAATGTCAGATTGTGAACAGTTACAGTTTTGTAACAAAGTCCATTAATCTATACTAAGGCCAGATGTGGTGGTCTCTTTATTATGGGAGGCACCTGATAGGTGGGCCACCATTGCCTCCTATGAAGGACGGACAGTTACAACCATGCCTTCTCCGGGATTCGAACGCAGGCCCTTCGGTATCGCAGTCAGGCTCCCCTACCCACTATACCGTCTGGGCGGCATTCCGCTGACATTAATGGTTACTTTTAATTATTTACATATTTTTATATATGAAAGTAAACTTTTGTTTAACTGAGTTATAAATTGTTTCACAAAATTCAGTTATTTATAGTCTCAAACTTTGATCCTAGTCCAAAAATGAGCTACTATAGAATGTATCATAATTTTGATTTTTTAAAGATACAGAATTAAGCTATATCATTAAATATCGTTGTCGGTTACCTTTTTGACCGCATACCTGCAGTGATTCAACGATATTTTTAACAGTTATACATTTCTAAATCGATTGCATTTAAAAAAAAAAAAATAATAACATTGATTTTTATAATACTTTGTTGAAAGCTGTAGGTATAAGTTTCGTATTTTCAGAATTAATCATTACAGATTTTCAAGATATACCTTTATCTTCACAGAATTATTTACCATCCAAGTAGTAACTTATCTGCAGTATTATTCATAAAAGTTATAAAAAATATATTATACTCAGGAGCGGATGCAACGGAGGATGATGGAATCTACTCTGGTTATTTCACTTATTTCAACGGAAACGGCCGTTATGCTGTAATTGCAAGAGTTACAAATGATGGTCAAGCAAGGCTTAAAACTGGAAGCAAAGCATCTGCTGCTCCAGCAATGCCAATCCGAAAAGGTAATCAATTATCATTATCATCATGATCATCATCATCATCATTATTATTATCATTATAAACATAAAACGGTCATAAAACATAAAAGCTTAAATGTTTTATTTAAAATAGTTATTAATTTATGTCAGTGTACTGTAATGAAGAAATACATTGGCATATTTTGTGAGAAAAGTAGAAAATATTTTCCTGTATTAATTTTATGCAAAACTACACATATGAAATCGTAAAATTTGCAGCCAAATTATTAAGAATATTTTAGCATAACTGCAATTTTAAATTGTGAGGAGCATTATTAAAGACCTCTACTACTCACTCAAACAACTCTTTATTAATGATCATGCAGGACGTTTTATAAAGATTAAATATACTGTGAATTATTGGTCATTAATCGAAAGTTCTACTGTTTTAAGGAATGAATCAAATAGGTAGACTTCTAGACAATGGGGCATATTTCGGAAATTCTAGTACCGCCACATTTTTACTAAAAAAACATACAAAACTTAATTAAAATATAAAACATACTAATTTTCACTAAGCGCATAGAAGAAACTCATCCCCGCCCCCTTAAAAAAAGAATAATTTTTATAACAGAGTTAGGGAAAACAAAAAAGTCAAGCCAACTTTACACTATTAAAGTTATGTGTTTATGTCAGTGTATCATATGTGTATAACTTTACAAAATAAAGTTAACTCTGCCATTAAATAAAATTTTCTACTAATCACTTAGGATTAAGTAAGACTGTTTCTAAAGTCAGCAACCTATATCAGTTTTCGAATACAAATTTATAAAACTCCAATATTCTGAAAGTTTTTCAAAAGAGAAGCATAAAGGATGGATTTCATTTCTCATTCATAATTTAAATTCTCCTCTGAAGTCATTTCGAAACCTTTTATCAAATAAAATGTAGATTTTCCGATCACTAAAAATCAGAGTTTCGCTGTTAAGTAAAATGCATTTAAGCCACATAATTTTAATAAATTTCGAGCCAATTATGCATATTACAAATCAACTTTTAAAAAATATATATATTAAATAAATTGAGACTAACTAAACGTCCTTTACTGAGCACCCATATAAAATTTTTAATTTTCATTACTTTTTACTAGAAGCGTCATGTTCTTACGAATTGTGTAGGTATATGGATAATTTTAGTGCAATTATATGTAAATATTTATATATGTGAAGAATTATATTTTATCTGTATAATGTAACTGAAAGAAAGGAATGGTTGTTTAACGTTGAATTTTTTGTATAATGTAACATGAAAAAGAAACGATGCTCTGCCGGTAAATTAAGAATTCAGGGGCAAGTTTAGTTAACATTGAGTAAATGGCTATCTTGCTAATTTGGCGAGATATCGCCAAGCTGGCAGTGCTTCTAACGGCTACTTTTTTTGCCAAATTTTGCGAAAAATCACTCAAAGTCGCCAAACCTGGCGACCATATGACAACATTTCGGTCCTGTCCCTGTTTAACTGCAATGAGTATCGTAGCTGAATAACTGTAATTGATCCTCTATGCAACTGTAACCGTATCCGGCCCTCATATGCCCTCCAGTAATTTCGAGAAGTACTAGAAAATTCTCTAGGCGGTCGGGGGAAAACTATGTAAGACAGGATACAGCATCAGTTTCTTAGTTGTTAACATTTAGTTCATAGCTAAATTCGGAGTATTTAGATATCCTTCTTAGCTTCTCTGTTTAGATGCGGTTTGCATTGCGTTGTGTTTAACGTCCTTAGTAGTTAAGTTAACGTCCTTAGTACTGCTAATAGTACTCTGTGATACTGTGAAGAGCTGTAAGGTAATTTTTGTGGAAAGTTCCAGAACTGCGAATCGTTTCTTCTGGTAAAATAAGTTTTATCAAGCTATCATCCGTTCTGTGTGCATTCAATCTATTACGAAACGATATGCATGCAGCAATACAATCAAAATTATGACAATCTAAAAGTCTGTCTAATTTTCTTTTAAACTGGAACCATCGGCCTTCCACAGGTTGTTTAAGAGATACATAGTCACGCAATTATTTGAAAAATTGTATGCCGCTTGTGTTACAAGTGGAATAGAATGCCTATAGTTTTGCTTATCATTAATACGCGCAACTGAACTGTAATTATTTATAATTTTCTGGAAACAAAGAAGTGTTGCCTTCGTGTGTGCTCTGAATGGCTATCATTTTTGCAAAAATTATGCCTTTAAAATTATATATCTTCTGTACGTAAAGATTCTGTCCAATGAATTTGCTAACATCATTTAATACATTTTTTAACATAACATTGCATTGAAAGAGTGTTTGCCGTCTCCTTTTGATTACATCATACAGTATTACATCAGCAAGTTCATGGATAAAATGTTTGACTTGGCTATGTTTGCTTATTACTAATAAGTATCATATTTTCATAAAATTCATACCATTTTTTTTTCTTTATCATGTTCTAAAGGAAGATCTAAGGACACACCAGTAGGAGAATTCCTTCCTGAGGATTTTGAAATAACTGAAAAAAATGAGACTGCAAATGAGACAGGAGAAAATTATGAGGCTGCAAAAAAATTTGATCGTGTCTCCAATGCTGGAGCTTTTCGAGTGCAGGCATGGAAAGAAGATGCTGGAGATGTTATACCCCCCGGTGATATTACGGATTTGACTGTCATATCTATTTTCAAATTTTCAAAGAATGAAGATAAAGTGACACTGCAGTTCACCGCTCCGGGGAACGATATGGACGCCGGTCAAGGTATGACATTTTTCTTCTTTCCCATTTAAAAATACGAGAAGTTTATTTACATTCTCCCATCTAAACATCATAGTTTACCGATGCTTGTTTAAGCAATTAATTGATATTAAAGGTGCGATGAATTTAAGAAACAATTTATTTAATTCAGTACTGTATCAGGATTCAAAATACAAAATAAATATCCATTATTAAATTCCTACGAAAACATTTTTGTATATTTCATAATATATTAATGCTTTTAGGCAAATTTTTCCTTCCTATATTTTCCTATTTGACAAAATACACAACATCACTACTTTTTGAGAAGCTTTCGAAACACGTTTGAAAAGTTTAAATGTTTTCAAAATCTGGGTATTATTTTGTTATCAGCATAAACTGCTTTTTCTAATGCTCATTCCTAATGCTTTCGTTTTTAGTGCCTAATTTAAATTACGCACTAGATATGAGAAAGCATTAGAAAAAGTTGAAATGAATGAGAAAGCATTAGGAGTAAGTGTAAAATACAAATTCAGTTGTCAGTTGATGAACGTTTTGCTGAAATTGAACTCTTGAAGTCTGAAAATTTAGAAATTTTGCTCAGGATCATCCTAGGACACTTAGTATACTGTCCCAGAATTTCAGTAAATATAATTTCTATAAGAAAGGCACGCTTCTGACTGATTTTCTGCGTTTTCTGGCCAATATACTAAGAGATTGTCGACTCGATCATGATCATTATACTGGAAAAAGTTTTCATAATGACATGTAAGTTCCTAAATTAAATTAGATATATTTTTCTACAAATATATTTAAAAATACATCTGGACAAAAAAGAAAGAAATTTTATTTATCTTCTAACGGAAATAGAGACAAAAGTGTGTATGAGTCGTTCGTTTCATAGTATGCGTTATAAAAATGTATTTCGTTGTTGAAAGAAAATGTCTTGCTTTAAATATCTTAATTTTTGAAACAAAAGTATTGCTGCGTGCATACGGGTTCGTAATAGATTGAATGCACAAGTCCGATAAAAGGTTAATTAAATTTATTCTTATCAAAAGAAATATATTAGAACGCTTGAATTTTCTTCAAAGATATTCGCCCAAGTGGTCACAATATCACTCACTATAATCGGTAGTTATACCTAAATTACTAAAAACGTTAAAATACAACGCAATGCAAAGTATTACCTAAAGAGAAAGCTAATTCAGATATCTCAGTTCACGCGGAACTAAATAAATCCCAATAGTATAAACTAAACAACAACTGAACTGAGGGGTCTCGCTCCGGGCTTTAAATAGTTTTCAACCGACCGCGCGAGATAGTTCCTAGCATTTTATACTTCTCGAGATTTCTGGAACAACAGTGTAAAAGCAGTGCAATTACGGTTACAACTAACATAGTGGTGAATTACATTTATTAAATTTCAAAACAAATTACCGGGATATCCGTTTATTCAATGTTAAATGCACGTGCTCCTGTACTTTTACTTTCCTTGCATAGCTTTTTCTTAAAAATTGTCTCGCGCTACATTGCATGAGGAAATAAAACAATTCTAATTATAATTCTACTAAAATTAGCTATCTAAATACAAAATTTGTAACATTATGTAATCCTTCACAGTATCTTAAGACCATGACAGCCCTCTAATTCTAGTAATGCTGCAAAATAACTAAATATAATTAAATTTTGCATTTGTCAAATATTGTTCTCTTATGTTTTCCTATACATTATATTTTCTTAATCTTTTCAGTAACTCTGATCTGTATTAAAAGGCATCTGTGGAATTTAATTTTTAATTAGTATATTAAATTTTAACTTAGTTATATAAAGTTTCACTGACTGACCTAAAAATTTGAAATAAAGCATATAAATCAAATAGCGAGTTGTACCTTAGTCGAAATTTGATTTAGTTAAAGAGAAGTTAAAATATATATAATATATATTATATATTATATAAACTTAATAAAGATTAGAGATAAGAGGTTGCACTGTGAGAACAGAAAGATGACTTCGCAATTTTAAAGTAATAAAAAAAATCTGGAAGCTTCCAGATTATATATTACTCCCAAAAGGGCTTTTTATAACGTTTTGTGTGTTACCTTTATTTATTAAGTATAATTTTCTTCGCACTTAAACCACATAAAATTCAATTCGGCAGCAATATCACAATGCCGTTGCCCGCTTTGAAATCGTTACGTTTGTTAATCAAAAATTCGTTAAAGTTTTACAAAATAGGAAATAGATAATAAAACAAATTCAGAATTCGGGCTTACTGGTGCCCACATTCGGGTAAGGATTACGTTATTCAAAATTTGACGGCTCTAGGTACCATCGCATTTCACAATGCGAGAAAAATACATACATTCATGCAGATTCTTCATTATTTAATTTCTTTAAATATAGTACAGAGCGATAATATTTAGTGGCAACTATTTAAAAAGTGACTATTAAAAATTTAAAAAGTGACACGCCGTTTATAATGAACCGACGCGATAATCCTCCTTTTCGCTAAAAAATTAATAAAGAAATCGAAATAACAGTGTGTGCACTCAACTTTAATTAATAACTACAATAAAAAGCTCAATATTTTTATTAACAATATATGCAAAATAAAATTGAAAAATTTCGTCCTTTTTAAAGTAGTATTCACGATATCCGGTGAAGTTTCTCAGCCCTTCAATACTTAGAAAATCCTTTCACAAGATGAACTCTCCTCTGACTTAAAACTGCGTATCCATTTGTATACCCCCTTTTTTTCATCTCATTGCTTGTTGTCATGAAGTCTTCTTGCCAGCTAATGCCTTCTTGAGAGGTCTGGCATTTTGATTTCTTACCACCATATCAAGGGTACTCTTTTACTCTTCCTGATATATTACAGAAAAAAAAACTAATTTTTATTAGAATTCATGACCATTTCTTTCGAATTTCTGACATTAGTGATATGTAACAGATGTAACACAAGGATATAAATTTTAAAACTGGGGAAGTTTGTTTCAATTTTATTATTCTACTTTTCTCCTTAGAAATGTTTTCAAAATAAATGCAAATTATAACCTTAGTTTAAATTTCTTAATTAAAATATTTCTTTCTTTTTAGTTTCCTCTTTAGAGATTCGAGCGAGCAAAAATCAGGAAGAGCTCATTGCAAACTTTGAAAATGGAGAAAATATTAGTGACGTTTACTATAACTCGCCATACCCTCCTCCACCTGGTGAGAACACCCTTGTAACGATTACAGTTCCTGAGGTATTACGAGGAAATGACTCAGAGGCCTGGACAATTTATTTTGCCATGAAAGCAAGAGATGAAGCCGGTGGGATTTCCTCAGGTTTCAATATTGCTGCTGCAACTTTTGGAATTAATAAAAAAAATCATAGTCGCAGAACAGAAGATAAACATGGGGGTGAAGAAGAAATGTTAGAAGAAAGTTTGAATACATCAGAGACAGAAAAGAACAGCGACAGCAGTTCTGATTCTGGTCAAAATGGGAACATTTCTAGCAGTTCTTTTCATTGGTGGCCTGTTGCTGTTACTACAGGAGTCGTATTAATTATTGTAATGATTGCTGCTCTAATTACTGTTGTGATTTTAAAAAGAAATAAGATGAAAACTTATTTTTCTGTTCAAAGTGCTCAGTGTTAAGACATTCCTTCAAAATCAGATTACTCAACGCAAGCCCAATTATATTTTGTAACTTTATATTATGTAACATTGTATAGTTATTGCATTCCTTTCTAATATTAATAAATATTTTAACTTAGACCATTTGAGCCACAAAATGTTTTCAGAAAGTCTGAATTTAAGTGAATATTGATTCACTTTGTGCGCTATAACGTTAATTTTAAGTGATAGTCTTAATGACCCCTCGTATTCTGTGGGGCAACATTATGGACCACTTAGAAACCCAGGTACTAAAAACAATACGGAAGAATAGATCTCACGTAAAGGGGAGACTGGCGTAGAAGGGTAATGGATTGATGAACAGGTAGAAGTGGGCAGGACACTAGAAATTCAACACTAGTCGTAGAGGTTAGTTAGTTATTTCTAAGCGTTGGCACTCAGCCCATCTAGCAGGCGTAGCCTGCCATATATGGCTATGAGGCGACAGGCCAATCCAACAACAAACGAACGTTAAATAAAGAAACATAACAAAATAAATGGTTAAATAACGCAATATAACAAACTTAATAAACATATCGTAATAAGTTCAAATCATACATCACACAAAGCGAACATAAAAACTCAAAAGAAAAAACGGGTTATAAAATAAATAAAATCACAACACGCAAAACATACACATACATCCCAAGCAATCTGTATGAAATCAATATATAGAGATATCGTTCCGTTTCTGTGGTCTTTCCTAAGTTTTAAATCTTTATAAGTTTTACTTTCAATTATTTGTTTGTAGAGTCATTAGTTTAATTGGAAGCAAACAAAATAAAAAACATGCAACCGCCTTCGCCGGGAATCGAACCACGGACCTCTGGAATACCGGCCCAGCGTGCTACCGTTACACCACGAAGGCACGCTAGGAAAGTGGGAGAAATACTTTTAATTTTTCAAATTTTTTTTTTATATTATCAAAATTCATCTTAAATTTATAAGATTACTTCAATCATATATGTTTTCAACATGATTTTCTGTTTTGTTATATCTCGATACCAATGTTCTTCTCATTCACAATTTGCCTAGTATCTCTTGCGGATTTTCTAAATAATTTATAGTTACTAAAAAAATCTTTAAACTTTGTAAATTTACATTTTCTTCTGCTACTTCCAGTCAGGCAACAGTCCTCGAAGTGCTTTGAATCACCGAATTTATTACAAACTTTAGATATATCATTTTCCTAGATGCGAAACCTTTTTAAGTAAGCAGGGAACCTTCTATGCGCAGTGAGAATTTAATTGACATCTACATCTCCTAAAATTCTCATTTTTGTTTTAATTTTTTAACAACTTGGATAATTTTTGTTTCTTTCAGAGAGATCATACAGATTTTCCAAGTGTTTAGTAAGCTTGTCTTGTATAGTACATGTCTTCTTTTTCGAATCTTGAATAGAAACCTTTTTGGTCCCAGCCCCCAGGGTAGCATCTTTTGCTAGTGTGTCCGCTCTCTCATTCCCATAAAAACCAGCGCGAGCTTTAATCCAATGTAAATTCCAAATATGCTTCTTTCGTAGTTCTAAATATATCTGCTTAATTTCATCAACAAATTTATTCTTTTGAAAAGGGTGGGAGAGCGCCATAAGTGCAGATAAGACATCTGAGTATAGATTAATGTAATACTCCACGGATAATTTCTTGATCCAATATAAAGCTTTTTTAATTGCCAGAAATTCTGCTTGGTAAACTGAATTTCCTGGTTTTAGAGTAAACATTTTACAATTAGTTTCAATAAAATACAATAAAATTCAATATAAACACAACGAAGGCACAGCCGACGCTCTCCTCAAACCCTGATCCGTTTGTATAAATTTCAATTTCTTCAGTTTAAATATAGTCTTTATCGTAGGATATACCGTAAGATTCGCTAGTGTGGCTTGAACCCAGATCATGCTCTAAGAAAGCCTCGCTGGTAATTGCTTTATCGTCATGCACTATTTTATGTTTTATATTATATCTCAGAAAGAATTTGTCATAAGTAAATTTAAATTGTAGGGAGAGGGGCGGTATACCATCCAGTAGGCATGCATCTTTTGTCGGGATTAAATAATCCTGTAATTGTAAGTGCCCAGGCCTTCTGCAATGAGTCCAATTTCTGCCTTGTCTTGACCAGCTCCCCTGCTCGGTCACCCCATGTGCCAATGCCGTAAGGAATTTTCGGTATAATAACATTCCTGTAAATATCTCTCAGGGTAGAGCTTTTGTTAGAGAGAGTGATCCAAGTAAAAGTACTTTTATAATAATTTAAAATTGTTTCTATATTATTTGCATTGACTTAAATTGCTGTATAATATTCAACTTATCGTTGATCACTACACCCAGATATTTAAACATATTCACAAATTTTATTCTTTTTTTACTTCCTTGTAGGAAGTAAAAAGGAAGTATTGTAATCGCGAAAAGTTTCAGGCAGCATATTTCAACGAAAATATCCATTTTGACCGCTATCGAATGCAATTTAACGATGTTTTTGCGTGATATCTGTACGTAAGGGCAGAATAAAATACTCTTTTCCTTCAAAAAAAAAAATTATAAAACTGCTTTAAAATTAATTCTGAAGAGAATTTTTCGTGGCGTCTGTACGAATGTATGTACGTACGTGCGTACGTACGTATCTCGCATAACTCAAAAACGAGTAGCCTCAGAACGTTGAAATTTTGTATATAGGACTGCTATAACATGTAGATGTGCACCTCGTATTTTGGTTGCAATCGACCGCACCAAACGTATATAAATATATTTATATATATATCCACTCTGTTACCCGGCTCAGTGATCTCAGTTTCTTTACTCTTATATGTTTGTAAATTGTACATTTTTTGCTTTAAAAATGATTGAATTATGTTGTTTTTATCTTCCGGTTAAGGATTTTATGCCTTTAATAAATCTGTGTGCAATATTTTTGGAATTATCAGCAATTTTAAAGTTGTTTAATTTCCGCTAATCCTTTTTTAATGGCGGTCATTGATGTTTACATTTGAAACAGGAGACTAGTGGATTTGTTGCCAATCTAGAGAAACTTAGCTTCGCAACAACAAAGATAACGCCTTCATTTATTATTTAAATCATGCTTAATCCTTTCTGGAATTTTTTCGAGGAAATAAGCGTTTAAGATTTACTTCGTAATTTTTAATATAGATATTTTGAGTTTTTATGTATTTTTGCCTTCTCGCGAAGTGAGAACTGAATTAATTAAATGAGAAATAGTCAATCGTCTGTGAAAAAACTGTTTTCTTTTTTTTGTTGTTTGCTTAATTTCTTTTATACATAATTCTAGCTTATTATAGTATTTGAATAGAACATGTGGCAACGATTAGATAATTCTATTCTTTAAATGATATAAATTTTGTGCATTATGAGTTATAATATGAACGAAATATAAGTTAACTGTTATATAATTATTGGATTATATAACAGTTAACTTAATTTCCGTTATAAATTATTATATAAGTTTAACTGTTATATAATTATTAATACTGTTAAGTGAATCTAGCGCCAGAGTGTCGCTATGGTAAACAAATACTAGAGTGAATTTTAAAGAATGCATTTATTCCATTGTGGTTTATGCGCTGTCGGCGAAGTAGATTTAATTCAATCCAATAAGTTTAAATGAAATGCAAGAAAAAATGCGTATAATTTAATATTCCAATACAAGGAAGTCATATGGTGTACACATCAGATTTTTTTATCATATTTCAATGTAGGGATTCTAACTCTTTTCCTCTCCCCGGGAAAAACATATCATTTGTTTTCTCAATATTAAATTCTACAGGCTGGTTCTAAATTGTTTTTACAAACTGAGAGGGGTGATAGTACCCATTCAGACGAGCAATAATTACCATAGAACATAGGATCGCATTCCACTGTGAGAAACAGAAAAGAAGAATGTTAGAATTCCAACCTGAACTTACAACAGTAATGGGAAAGCAAATGAAGAGACCAAAAATTGCACAACCAGATTTATTGTTTAGTGAAAAACTCACAGAAAGTGCTCAAAATGCCGACCACGTGGGTCGTTGCACAGTTGACATCGGGGAAGGAATGACTGGTGCACTTTCGCGAAGATTCCTAATGTCGTGTTAATTTTGTCTACGGCAATAATGATTCTCACCACGAGATCTTCAGCTGAGTCCACTGGCGACTCGTACACTAATGATTTCATGTGTCTCCAGAAGAAAAGTCCAGTGAGTTGAGTCCGGTGAGCGAGGACGCCAAGCCACAGGTCCGCCACGTCCGATCCATCGTGCAGGATATGTGGCGTTTAAAAAGTTACGGACCGTGGTGGAAAAATATGCTGGGGCTCCATCGTGCATACACTACATGTCTCTCTGGATGGGGAGCGGAACAGCCTGCAATAAACTGGGAAGCACTTATTCCGAGAAGACACGGTATGTTTCGCTTGTCAAACGGTCTGGCATAATGTAAAAGCTTACCAGATAATCACCCAAGAAACCTGTCAAGATGTTCACGGAAAATTTCTGCTGGTGTTTACGAGTGGCATTGCAGTGGGGATTGCTGTCAGACCAAATGTGTTGATTGTGCACTTAGAAAAGGCCTTCTCTGATGAACGTTGCCCCATCACTAAATAATAATGACATTAATGCAGGAAAATCGTTATTCCTCATTTCAAGCATCCACTGCACAAAGTCTGCCCGTCAGGGATAATCATCTGTGTCCAAAGATTGTACATTTTGCACGTGATAGGGGTGTACGCTTTCCTCGTGTGAAATACGCCACACCATTTGGATGAGAAATACTCATTTTGTATGCCACCGCTCGCGAACTTGTGGAAGGAGCAGCTTCAAATTTAGTCAAAACTCGCTCTTCTATTTCTAGCGTTCGTGCATTTCTCGAATGTCCTGAATTGGTTTTCGAGATGGCAAAAGAACCTGTTTCTCGCAGTCTTCGATAAGCAGTGGAAAAGGTTGGATGACTTGAATTCCGACGTGTTGGAAACCGCTGTTTGTACAATCTTCGTGCTTCGCGTCCATTTTTTTTTTTTTTTTTTTTTTGTTTCGCAGTATGCGAGGTGAATATCTGCACAATTCCTCGTACGTGTACTCCGCCATAGCATTCACGAAAAGTTTCGGACCACGT